TATATATAAACCAGCCAATCCTGACTGTGAATACTATTAGAAGGGATGTAATAAGATACACTTCAAGAAAAAGTCACAGCTGAATCGCAGACTACATGGTAATTTTTTGGTCTTGAACAAGTTTAAAAAGCAAACCCTAAAACTCCATATATATATATATGCATCCTGTGGATGTAATCCTGAAATACTAAGAATTATTGCAGATGGATTCTGAGAACAAAAATAAAAAAATAATACTGCATACCCCTTATATCTTGTAGACATGTGATGTCACCTCTTTTTATATTATATATTCTTAATCCTGTGAAAGGGGCTGAATTCAAATACTAGAAACAGAAGCCTTCTATTTGTCCACATGATTGATACAATAGAAATCACAGTAGTGAGCGCTTTCAGAGTAGCAGCTGTGTCAGTCTGTGTCTGCAAAAAGAACTGGAGTACTTGTGGCACCTTAGAGACTAACAAATTTATTTGAGCATAAGCTTTCGTGGGCTACAGCATCTCTCCACAGTGAACTTCAATCCTGTTCTGGGTGGATCACCCATAGGATTGAGAGGATGCGGTAGTTAGTCTCCATGCCTTTTCAGTGTACTCAGATTGCCATCCAGGGTCCCAGTAATAGTGCTGTTTTCTGCATGAGCTGAAACCACTAATTTTTATGTCGCCCACTGACCAGGAGTCAATTGATGATGACTTTTGGTCTTACTAACAGGAATAAATTCAACCCAGTGACCTAATGCAGAAGTGAAAGGTTCCATTATCTCTTTACCAGTCCCTTGAGCCCGTCAGACTCCAACTTTAATATAGAATGGCATTTGTAGGCTTTATAGTACAGAATCACATGCCACCACTTGGGAGATCATAGCTTAAGGTCTGTCTCAGAAGTCAGTCTTTGGGCCAGAGCATGACAGTGCGTGAAAACAGCTCAGCCGATTATTGCAGACTTGATGCTTGTATCCAGCTAAGGTGGACAATTAGTATATGGCTTCTATGAAATACCTTCTGATAACTGAAGGGTGGATCCATTTGGCACAGCTAAAATTTTCAACAAAGATTGAGTAGAGAGAGAGAGAGATGAGATAACAGTATTTATAGTAGGCAGAAAATGTAGGTCACGTCTTGGTCAGGCTTTTCTATACAAGTCGCTGTTTTAGAAAAGCTGAGTGCCACTTTTGGCATATGCCTTGAATTTAAATGAATTTGCAAATGAGAAACTACACAGAAAATCATTGAGATGAAAGCTCCATAGTGCCACTTTTACAGTCACTTTCCAGTTTAATGATTTTAGAAGCCAAGAGAGAGTAGAATCAGCACTGTATACAAACTTCTTTACAATGGAGGGGTCAGATATAATGGTAGCCACAAGGAGCTACTGTAGTTATAAATTGCTTCAGCTTCTTTGTTGAAGACCATCATAAAGATATTCTGTTGCAATATTAACCCATCTGTGATCATTATGGTAGGTACACAGAGCAGTGCTGAGTGTGTATTTTGCCCCATGTACCTGTTATATTAGGTGGCATTGAAGCAGTTAAAATTGTCTCAGAATTTCCATTTTGCATGTATATCCTCAAGGATTTATAACTGGGATGTAACAATTCTCCCAGGCAGAAATTTGGCATACAAGTAAGGCAAATGTTATAAATACTACAGTGCTAGTTGGAAGAAATGAAAATATGTAATTGTATCTTGTGGTACTTTGTCTCTTTACACACCAGTGACTGTTTTAATTATAAGTATATAGTCTATAGTTTTGCTTCTTATAAACAGCTCTATAATGTGAGATTCCAAAATGAATAAAATGTCATTTGGTCTTGTGTATCTCCTTCGATGCTCAGGTTATCAAAAATCACTTGGAAAAAAAGTGAGTTTGGTCCTGCTAATACAGAGACTGGCTGAACCAGCACAGCAGTATTAAAAATGCAGTGATCGCCCACATACAGCCTTTGACACTGTACTCTCCATTAGGGTCTGACCCTGTGAAATGGTGAGCACTCTCAACACTTACTGCTGTCAATGGCAACTGAGCGTGCTCAGCACGTCAGGCTCTGGCTCTATGGAGCAAAAACATGTTTCTCGGGAAATTTAGAGTTCTCTCCTACTCTGTTAAAATTAAGTTTGGTAAGTATGAGTATATTCTATATAGTTCTACATTTATTGATAAAATGTTGGAAAATAGATCCTTTCCTCTTCCCCTAGTCATTGTTCCAAAATCCTGACATCCATAGCTGTGGTAATGGATTGATGAATGAAGCAGAAAATTGTAACCTAGAAAGTGTCAGATTCTTTGAGTAAATAAACAGTAAAAACAAACATAACTGTCTGGCTTATATTTATTTTATTTATTTATTGCATTATTTTTAAGCAACAAGAAGCTGAGGACACCGCCAAACTACTTTATAATGAATTTGGCTGTGAGTGACTTCCTGATGTCTGCTTCACAGGCCCCCATTTGCTTTATCAACAGTTTGCACAAAGAGTGGATACTTGGAGAAATAGGTACTTTTCATACTACTTCATAGCTCCCTCTGTATGGGAACCTATCTTAGCCATCAGCATGTGGCATGGAGGCAGCAGCATCAAGACTCTTGTGGCACAAGCCAGAGTCTTGACATCATCAACCAACAGGACTGGCACAAAGTCACTGAATCCCGACCCTCTTGTGTTTTATAGGTTTGGTTCCTTCCCCTTCCAGTTCTTTGAATGAAAGGAATCAAACCTCTGGCTTCAAGAGCAACACCATAGTGATCACATGACCACTTAGCATGTAAGGCCAGTTACCATGCTTGATGATGGGTAGAATAATTAATAGGTAGAATAATTTTGTTAAGCCATATATAGAGTTTTTTTCTTTTTCTTGATTGACAGTGAATTATGTATTTATTTGTTTAGAAATGTATACCTGGTACCCAGTGCAAAGCCCCTGGGAGCATTCAATCAGTAAAAAGAATCACAGAATAAAAGAGCCAAATGATGGCCTCAGCTGCTTCTCTCTTCCCCAAAACAAGGAAACTTGAGGTCTTAAACTGTAGCTCCTTTGAAAATATTGCAAGCTCTGATTAAAGGCCTGATTCACAATTGCATTAGTTGTGCTTTTAGGCTGGCATAACTCCATTGGTAGCAATAGAAATAAATCAGCATAAAACTGGAGTAGCACAGTGGTGAATCAGGTCCTGAAACAACCTATTTAGTACCAGCAGAAGAGATTTATTCATTGGGCTCACAATATTGTTTGTCTCTCCCACTTCGCTATTTAGATATCGGTACAAATCCTGCCTGCCATGCTTACACAAGTCATCCCATGATCATAAATGGGACAGTCTGATCATAAGTGAGACAAGAAGGATTTGGTCCATTAACTCCATGCTTCTGACATTGACATGATTACTTTTGGTGTCAATTGTGTCATTTTGAACTATGTGCTGTCTCTAGCATACCATCATGTTTCTCTAGTGTACCATCATGTGTGATGACACGGTGTCACAGAAAATCCTAAGAAACGACTATTTGACACGGATTTCCAGGTCAAATTATTCAAATTGCAACTCTGTCTGTCTTTGTCTATTAGCAGAATATACAAAGGAAAAATCATTCTGCCTCAAAGTGAAAACTGTAACTTAAAATAACATTTTGTACCATATTTCATAGGACCAGTGGCTGTGTTTTCCATATAGGCTTTTAAATTGGCATGGAGTCAAAAGCACCTCTGCATTTTTAATTCATATAAAACACAGATAGATACACAATGTGGGTGAAGTTTTATTAGACGACTGCTGTTGGTGAGAGAGACGAGCTTTCAAGTTACACAGAGCTCTTCTTTAGGTCTGTGAAAGGTACTAGTTTGTCACAGCAAAATGCAAGATGGAATGAATTGTTAGCATGAGTATTTAACACATATTTCAAGGGAACATTAAAGGTGACGTGCCCATTAACCCCTCTCCAGTCATACGGGGAAGGGGTTGGGGAAAGAGTCTCTGGGTTGGGGGTGTGTGGGATCATAGGCGTGGGAACTAGAGGTGCTGCAGCACCCCAGGTTTTACGCAGGCTCCTGCCCGGGGCTCCCAGCTGATGCCCGGGTCCTGGTTGCTGGCCTGGGGCTCCACTCCTGGCCCTGCTCCCACTCCTGCCCCCAGCTGTGGCCCCATCTTCAGACCCCTTACCACTGTCTGGGTCCCCCTCTCCTGGAGACACGTCCCTGCTCCCAGGCCCAGCTCGGGGGTGAGGGGAGGACAGGGCCCACTATTAAAAGAGTTCCAGCACCACTGCGTGGGATTAAGTGGGTTACAGATTGTTGACATGAGCCATAAATCCAGTGTCTGTGTTCAGTCCATGATGGTTAGTGTCTAGCTGAGTTACAAATTTAAGCTCCCAGGCTCTCCTTCTGAAGGTGTCCCTTTTTCCTTTGAGGATGAGGGCTGTGAAGTCAGATACAGAGCAATCATTTTGTGAAAAGTGAAAGGTGATACAGCGTTTTTTGTCTTTTATCATTTTCCTATGTGAATTTATTGATGAGCATAGTGATTCTCATTTCACCCACATAGTTGTTACTGGGGCATTTAATACATTGGATGAGGCCAACCACATGTTGTGATAGGCATGTGTTGGACCCATGGATCTTGAAAGGTTTGTTGTGAGGAGTGTTGATCATCATAGCAGTGGAGATAAGTCGATAGAAGTGGTGGGCAACCTGCGGCCTGCATATGGCCCATCAGGGTAATCCGATTGCGGTCCACGAGACATTTTGCTGATGTTGACCATCCGCAGGCACGGCTCCCCCACAGCTCCCACTGGCAGCGGTTTGCCGTTCCCGGCCAATGGGAGATGCGAGCCACAGGAACGTGCTGGCCGCCGCTTCCTGCAGCTCCCATTGGCCGGGAACAATGAACCACAGCCAATGGGAGCTGTGGGGGGCCATGCCGGCAGAAGGTTAATGTCAGCAAAATGTCTCGTGGCCTGCAATCAGATTATTCTGATGGGCCGGAGGTTGCCCACCACTGGTCTATAGGTTTTGCATCTTTTGTTCTGGCAAGGTCTGGTACCACTATAAGTTGGTGTGTCCTGGTCTATGTGGAGCTTGTGTCTGACGGTGAGCTTGGAGAGGTTGGAGGGTTGTTTGAAGAGGGGGTTCATCCTGATTTCTTTCACGATGTGGTCCTCATTGAGTATGGGTTTTAATTGTTGTTGATATCCCTCATGGGTTCCAGTGTGGGGTGGCAGTCGGAGGGGTTTTATTTCTGTATTGAATTAGGTTCTCTCAAGGTATTTGGGTGGCCCTTTCCCCCTGGACTGGAGAGGTGTTAACGGGCCACTTCACCTTGAATGGTCCCTTGAAATAGGCGTTAACTATTTATGCTAAACAATCTGTTCCACCCGGTCTTTAGTATTTAGCAGTGACACTCTGGGTATGTCTACAGTGCAATTAAAAACCCGCAGCTGGCCTGTGCCAGCTGACTGGGACTCGCGAGTCTCAGGCTGAAGGGCTGTTGAATTGCAGTGTAGAAGCTCAGGCTGGAGCCCAGTCTCTACGACCATGCAAGGTGGGAGGATGCCGAAGCTTGGAGTGTAGCCCAAGTCCAAAAATCTACACCACATTTAAACAGCCCTGCTTCTCACGTCCTGTGAGCCTGAATCAACTGGCTCGGGCTAGCCATGGGTTTTTAATTGCAGTGTAGATTTAGCCTCTGGCCTGGTCCACACTAACCCCCCACTTCGAACTAAGATACGCAACTTCAGCTACGTGACTAACATAGCTGAAGTCGAAGTACCTTAGTTCAAACTTACCGCAGGTCCAGACGCAGCAGGCAGGCTCCCCCGTCGACTCCGCGTACTCCTCTCGCGGAGCAGGAGTACCGGCGTTGATGACAAGCACTTCCGGGATCGATTTATCGCGTCTAAACAAGACGCGATAAATCGATCCCAGAAGATTGATTGCTTACCGCCGGACCCGGAGGTAAGTATAGACGTACCCTCTGAGTAAAGTTTCCCAGACCCGAAGAAGAGCTCTGTGTAGCTCAAAAGCTTCTCTCTCTCACCAATAGAAATTGGTCCAATAAAAGATATAACCTCACCCATCTTGTCTCTCTAATATCCTGGGATCAACACGGCTACAACAACATTGCATAAAACGATGTTCATTTTTTGATGTATTCTTTTGTCTCTAGGAGACAAATGTCTGTTTCAGCATAGTTAAGGTCATTATATTGGGCAGCATTCCAGGAAAATGTAACTTTAATTGTATTGGATTTTTGTTGAGGCAGTTTTCCATTGACAAATGATTCTCAGTCATAGCATTCAGTAGAGGGTCGGACATTTTTCCTGCTTACTTTTATATTAATTTTGTATTTGCCCTATTAAACAAAAATAAACTACTAATGCAGAAAGGCCGTATAAATTCCTATGATGAGAGAAGTGTCTTGAGTCAAGAACAGCATGATCACAAATGGGAAGTTTATTGCATCAGGCTGTAAGAGAGAGTTCTACATTTGTTTAGAAAATTAAAAATCTTATGTTCCACTTTTCTGTTTAGGTTGTGACCTGTATGCTTTTTGCGGGGCACTCTTTGGAATAACCTCAATGATGACTTTATTAGCTATTTCCATTGATCGATACCTTGTGATCACTAAGCCTCTGCAATCCATGCGGTGGACTTCCAAGAAACACACATCGCAGATCATTGTTATTGTCTGGCTCTACTCGCTGGGATGGAGCGTGGCTCCGCTTCTTGGGTGGAGTACGTTGTTTACTCTTTTGTGTGTGTGTTTGTACATTATGGCGCTTTTGCTTTGTTGCAGATGTGTAAAACGGCCCATAGGCATTATTGTTGAGTGTATATATGGCTAATGCCTGGGGGGTTGCTATAGTATAGTATATCTGTGTCGACAGCAGTACAGGTGTTCTTTTTTTTTTCCAGGTATGCTCAAGCAAAACAAATCCCCCAATGGCATAATAGGCATGTATCAGTACTTCTCAAGTCAGGAAGGGTAGGTACCTTCTCTCTTCAGCAGTAGTTGTCAGCACACACTTACTTTCTCAGTCATCTTTTATGTCAAGAGATAAAGGGATAGATTATCAAAAGCCTGCCTGCCCTTCTGAGCTTGAAAATAAAGGCAAGAGTGACTAATGTCATGTAGATAGCTGAGGTGAAGATGCAGCCTGGTAGTTGGTTATCTACATTAAATCAATTGCAATCTCGGTTATTTGCACATGCAAAATTGTGTGTGCAAAAAGGGAGGACACGTTGAGGCAAGGCTGACAGTAACCCCTAATATTTTTCTTCCTTCTGTACTGGCCTTATATAAATAAATTGAAGTGACTATCTCAGGAGGAGTAAAATATTAGTGTTCCCACTTTTAAAACAAGTACACCTCTACCCCGATATAACGCGACCCGATATAACACGAATTCGGATATAACGCGGTAAAGCAGTGCTCCGGGGGGGCGGGGCTGCGAGCTCTGGCAGATCAAAGCAAGTTCGATATAACGCGGTTTCACCTATACTGCGGTAAAAAATTTTGGCTCCCGAGGACAGCGTTATATCAGGGTAGAGGTGTAGCTTTGAAAGATAATATTGAAAAATAGTATGTCTTCCTATTCAATGAGAAAAAATTGTCATCTCCATTTCAGCCTGAACAGAGATTACATAAAAAATAATAATATAATATTTAAAGTCTTTTTGAGTTCTTCTTCAAAGTCCCCTGAAGATAGGAGGACTCTATTGACTTTAATGGTGTTTGGATCAGGACCTTAAATTCCTGCTACCTTCTTGTCTTTGTTAATGAGGGAATGACCAAACTGGCAAATATTGACCCCTATTGTCCACTCCCAGCTTCTGGCTGTCAGAGGCTAGGGACACCCAGAGCATCTTGGCTAATAGCCATTGATCAACCTATCCTCCATGAACTTATCAAATTCTTTTTTGATCCCCATTATAGTTTTGCCCTTCACAACATCCCCTGGCAACAAGTTCCACAGGTTGACTGTGCATTGTGTGCAGAATTTATTTCCTTCTGTTAGTTGTAAACCTGATGCCTATTAATTTCAGTGGGTGATCCCTGATTCTTGTGTTATGTGAAGGCGTAAATAACACTTCCTTATTCATTTCTCCATGCCATTCATGATTTTATAGACCTCTACCATATCCTCCCTTTAGTCCCCTCTTTTCCAAACTGAAAATTTAGATTTGCATCTAAAATCCATCACTGTTTGCTTGCTTCCACTTATTTAATTTGGAATTAAACTTTGATCATAAATAATTGTAGCTTCCTGTGCTTTTAATTTCCTTTCTCTTTCCTTTTTAAAGGCCTGCTTTCTTCCTATTCCCAACTTTTCCTTCATTCTCTTTTCCAAATGATCTCTCCCTCCTTTCTCTTCCCGCTGTCCCTTCCTTCTTTTTCTCCACTACTTGCCACAACCTTCTCTTACTGTCTGCTACTAAAACTTCTCCAGACACATGCACGCACACACTCACACCGCATACCTACCTGTCCCCACACCCACCCACAGATCCATCACTCGCCAAATATCCTCCCCATCACACATACAAACAATCACCCGCTAGTCATTACTTCCTCCATCTGTTGAGTCATATACAGATTTCTCTCCACCCTCAACCTCTTATGCTGGGACATTATGAGTATCTATCTCCCCTTCTGTCCACTGCTTGGTGTCTCCTTACCCCTTCTCAGACAGCCTGGCTAAGTATAATGGGGATGTGAGAAAAGCGGGGGAAGAATAGTCTTCTGGTTAAGGCACAAACCTTTGAGCCAGAGAGCCACAGTTGATAAGGGTTCTATTCCTAGACTCTCCATTCCTGACTGATCTTGTCCAAACACTTGACCTCAGTCTCTTAATTTTCATGTCTGTAAAAATGGGATAGCACTACTTACCTATCTCATAGGGCTATCATTTATTAATATTTGTTAAGCACTCTAAGATCCTCAGCTTAAATGTGCTACAGTGGAGGAAAATAATATTTCTGAAGGCCAACATTTTCAAAAATGACTATCCCTTTTGGGTCCTGGGTTTTTTGTGTGTACCCAATTTGAGACATCTTAAAGGATTTTTAGCGGGTGGATACTCAGCACTTCTGAAAATTGGGCCTCTTTAAAGCATCCAAAAAATCAAGGCACTCAGAATTATTGGTTGCCTCTGAAAATGTCAGCCTTAAGTAACAATAATATTAGTTTGGTCTTCTGTAGCATATTTCATCTGAGGATCTCAAAGTGCTTTACAGATTTTAAGGTGTCATTAGCCCCTCTTGAAAATCTTGGTCTAAATCTAAATATTTAGCATAAGTCAGATTTTTGGTCTTAAATTTTGATGGTATTGTCCCTTTGGCTATAAATTTCTCTACTTCTGTGATTTTACCTCATGACCTTAAAGTGAGGTTTTATTGAGAGAAATGACCTAGTAAAAATTATACCTTCTTATTCAACAGAAATATTCCTTGGGTCAGATCTTCAGTTGACATAAACTAGTGGGGCCAATGTGATATACACTTGTTGAGGATCTGACTCTTGTGTTTATTCAGTCATATCTACTGACTTTAGTGATAGAAATAGCATCTTACTGCTTTTGAGCCTGGTTAGCCCAGGTAGTGTCAAAACAGATGGATGAGCTGGATTTCTGCTTATTATTGTGCATCATTCACAGACATGTTTTGTTATATCCCATCTAGTTAAACCTGTGCAGTGGGGATGCACAGATGTAACAAAGGGTATAATTTAGCCAGCAGGACATTTATTGATGTGGTTGTTGCACAAAAAAGATAAAAATGAGGCTGAGTTTGCAGGGCTGGTAGTTGGGGGTAGGGGTGTGGCGGGAATGGATTTTTACTTATAGGCAGAGCAGCTTTATTATGGAAATTATTGCGAGACCATGACATTGTGTTCACAGACACTTTTCAGAGTAGAACAACACTTGAATATTTTGAATTAGTGCATTTAGGGTTTGAATAAGCAGAAAAACCTCTTCATACTTAACAAGAGTGTATAATCTCATCACAAATTGTAATGAAATCTATTTACTCATGTTTTCTTTCAGGAACTGAGACAAGCATGCCACTTTCTGCTTGAAAATGTTTTTGTATTTTTAGAATTAACCTTTTTTTTGGTCAAAACAAAAAGTAATCTGGATTTTGTGGGTTTTCTCCCTTTCTCTGTCTTTTGTCCCCTTTTCTAGTGTAGAACCAAAAATGGGAAGGGGGGAGGGGATCGTTTCTGTTTCAATCAAATTCAGATGTTTGATTTTGAATGAAAATGAATTTTTTGTTTGATTTCAATGAAAAATTAAAACCTGCCACATTTTTAAACAAACAAACCCATATTTTATTTTGTTTTCTTAATTTTTCACTGGAAATGCTTTCCATTTTTGGACCAGACCTAATATTATCCTAACTATTCATTTACTACAAAGGCAGAAACATTTCAGCCTTCTCGTCCCCTTCATCAGAATCTTAGGAAGCCTGATTTAACCTCATGTTATTCATTTCACTGCAACTGAAGCAGCAATATAACAACTGACAATAGCCTTTTTGATTTAATATTAAGATAACATAATTCCATGCCTTGTTTCGCTGTTCTAGTTTTCTGTATTGATTTGTTTATTAGCTAGCTTTATTTTAAAAGATAACCAATTAGGTTAACATTAGATATCCCAATAACCACATTTTTGTGTCATCATTGCTGTCTTACAACTCTTCTGTTGCCAGTATCTAAAACTGAATTAGTGTAAACATAGAATATGGCATTTTTCCTGCAGTTGGGCTTTAAATTGAGCTGCAAAAGACATCTGCCTGTAATCAATAGCTTTACAGCTGAGAATACTGTGTAGGATTTAATTCAGAATAAGGCTTTAGCATTGATATCTGGGGCAATTAATTCTTGTAATAGTAAGTAATGATCTGTTTAATTGAAAGCCTTGGATATGTCAATAAAATAACACACAAAATTATTGCCTTTAATCAGGCTTGCAAATTTTATTCACTCGTTTGCCTGTGGTAAAATTTTGCAAAGTCTTTAATCATAAGTGCCACCATAACAACAATAAAAATTGGGTCTGAGTCCCATTTACACTAAGAGGTTTTGCATTGAAATTTATACTGAAACCCAATGGTCAGGAAGTAAATCCTTAGCAATGTGGTTTGTTAAGATGTGGGAGGGATAGCTCAGTGGGTTGAGCATTGGACTGCTAAACCCAGGGTTGTGAGTTCAATCCTTGAGGGGGGCCACCTAGGGATGTGGGGTAAAAAATCAGTTCTATGAGATAGGTATATCTCCATATATTCATGTGGAATTTTCTCGCAATGAAAGCTCCATCACCTGAGTTCTGTAAAATTCAACTGGGCAAAGCAAGTAGAACAATGCTGCACTGACAGGGTAATTGCAGTGTGACCTGATAGTTCTTTTCCATCTCTAATTCCTAATATATGAGTTAAAACAATTATGTGCCATCAGTAGAAGACAATAAACCAGATCAGCCTTGCAGTTGCCACATCTGCTGATTTCCCAAAACACGGTTGTCATAGTCCAGGGTTATCTGCACCTTTGACAGGGCCACCCAGCGGATTCAGGGGGCCTGAGGTCTTCGAATTGCCGCAGAAGACCCGGCGCTTCGCCGGTGGGGTCCCAGGGCGGAAGGACCCCCCACCCGCTGCCGAACTGCCGCCGAAGATCCAGAGCGAAAGAAGCTCCGGGGGCCCGGGCCCCACAAGAGTTTTCCAGGGGCCCTGGA